CCCCCCCCCCGCGGGGGGGGGGGGGGGGGGGGGGCTGGCGGAAGGGCTGCCCCAGGGACCAACTCCAAGGGTGGGGAGCCTCACTCTGAGCAGATGGACAGAGCCGGAAGGGACCTTGTAGGTCATCGAGTCCAGTGTTTCTCAACCGTGTCATCTTGCAGCTGCCCGGACTTTACCCCCCAGAGCTCCCCAGCCAGTATTCGCTGGCTGGTGAATTCTGGGAGTTGAAGTCCGGACATCTTCAAGTTGCCAAGGTTGAGAAACACTGGACTAGATGACCTACAAGGTCCCTTCCGGCTCTGTCCATCTGCTCAGAGTGAGGCTCCCCACCCTTGGAGTTGGTCCCTGGGGCAGCCCTTCCGCCAGCCCCCCCCCCGGCCCAATCGAGGAGGGGGCAGCCTGGAAATGGGAGGTGGGCCGGTGGGGAAAAGGCAGGTTGCCAAGTGGCCCCCAGGCTTCAGGCAGGCTTCAGCCCCCTCTCCCCCCCACCTTACAGCCGCTTTCCAGCCCAGGGCCCTTGGGAGCAGGTCGGGGGTCTCTGGCCTGCCCTCCCTCCCTCCCCAAGGACCCCCCCGGGCAGCCTGGCCAGGCGGGGAGTGGTTTGCTCTTCACCTGAGCCAGACTCTGCCCTCTTCGGCCAGACACACACACAGACAACACACACACACACAGGAGCTGCCCCTCCAGCTGCTGCTGCTGCGGGGGGGGGTGGTCCTTTGGGGAGAGGAAGGCAACAGGAAGCAGTATAAATAGCTCTCCTACGCCCAGCCCTGCGAGGCAGGCCGGCCCCTGCAAAGGGGGGGGGAGGTATGTTTGTGTGCACAAGTCACAGACACAATGGCCCACTTGGGGGGTGGGGGGCTCCCTTGTTCCTGCAGGAGCCCGGAGGGAGGGGCCGCCTAGGTGGCAGTGTGGTCAACTGGGCTCAGCCAGGGGCCCCCCCTGCCCCTCCCTTCCCCGCTCCTGGCCCCTGGGAGGGAGGGAGGGAGGGGCTGTGGGCTTCCCCCTTGGCCCCGCTGGGGCCCAGCCATGGGAATGGGGGGGGTGGAGCCCAGCGTCCAGGGGGGGCTAGAGGGGAACTGCAGCCCCCCCACTTGGGGACGCTCAGCAGCCTCAGAGCCCTTCCTGGACGGGCAGGGGGGCAGGCAGTGCTCACCTTACGCCGATTCGTTTAGTAACCATTCGAGATTTCAGCCGCCTTAGGCCTGTTGCCTGGCGACCGTCCCACAGGAACAACTGTGGGCAACTGACTCGCATTTATGACGGTCGTGGTGTCCCGGAATCACGTGACCCCCTTTTATGACTCTCTGGCAAGCAAAGTCAGTGGGGGGAGTCAGATCCACTTAACAACTGTGTGACTCACTTAAAGACTGCAGTGGCAGGAAAGGACCTGAAAGGAGGCCAGACTCTCTTAGCAACAGGCATTGGGGGCTCAAGGACCACCTCTGCCACAGGGAGCCCCTGAGCCCCTTCGGGAGGAAATTGGGGAGGGGGCTGGAGGGCGAGGGGGGGTGGGGGGGCTTTTCTGGATGCTGCTACTTGGTGCCCCCCGGAATCCGAAGGTCCTGGGGAGGGAAGGAGGGGGGCCAGGAGGGCCCTGTGCCGACCATCCTCTTGGGCCGAGGGGGAGGGTCTCTCTGTCCACAGATGCCTCCTGTTCCTGGGGGAGAACAGGCGGGACACCTAGTGCTCCCCCCCCCAGGAACAACGATCCGTTGGGGGTCTCTGTGCTCCCAAAAGACTCGCAGGGTCTGTGAGCTGGGCGGGGGCTCCTTCCCAGCCCCAGGGCTCCAGTCTTGAGGGTGGGGGGGTGGGGGAGAGGAGGGGGCTTCCCGGGGCCTCTGGGCTGGCCAGGGTGGAGAGTCATGGTCCCAAAGTGGGAGGAGCACAGGGGGGGGCGTTGGAGGGGGGTCTCTGCAGCAGCCTTGAGGTGCTCTAACTGGGGGGGGAACATTGTCTCTCCCACACCTCCCTTCCTCTTCTCCTCTCCTCTCTTTCCTTTCTTCCATCCCTCCTTCCTTCCTTCCTCCTCTCCTCTTTTCGCTTCCTTCCTCCTTCCCTTTCTTTCTTCCTCTTCTGCTGCCTTTCCTCGTCTCCTCCCTCCCTCCCTTTTCTTCCTTCTTCCCCTCTCTTCTCCTTCCTCCTCTTCTTCCTTCCTTCCTCCTCTCCTCTTTTCCTTTCCTTTCCTTCTTTTGCTTCCTTTCTCCTTCCCTTCCTTTCTTCCTCTTCTGCTGCCTTTCCTCCTCGTCTCCTCCCTCCCTTTTCTTCCTCCTTCCCCTCTCTTCTCCTTCCTCCTCTTCTTCCTTCCTTCCTCCTCTCCTCTTTTCCTTTCCTTTCTTCTTTCGCTTCCTTTCTCCTTCCCTTCCTTTCTTCCTCTTCTGCTGCCTTTCCTCCTCGTCTCCTCCCTCCCTCCCTTTTCTTCCTTCTTCCCCTCTCTTCTCCTTCCTCCTCTTCTTCCTTCCTCCTCCTCTCCTCTTGCCCCTTCTTTCGCTTCCTTTCTCCTTCCCTTTCTTTCTTCCTCTTCTACTGCCTTTCCTCCTCGTCTCCTCCCTCCCTTTTCTTCCTCCTTCCCCTCTCTTCTCCTTCCTCCTCTTCTTCCTTCCTTCCTCCTCTCCTCTTTTCCTTTCCTTTCTTCTTTCGCTTCCTTTCTCCTTCCCTTCCTTTCTTCCTCTTCTGCTGCCTTTCCTCCTCGTCTCCTCCCTCCTTCCCCTCTCTTCTCCTTCCTCCTCTTCTTCCTTCCTTCCTCCTCTCCTCTTTTCCTTTCCTTTCTTCTTTCGCTTCCTTTCTCCTTCCCTTCCTTTCTTCCTCTTCTGCTGCCTTTCCTCCTCGTCTCCTCCCTCCTTCCCCTCTCTTCTCCTTCCTCCTCCTCTTCCTTCCTCCTCCTCTTCCT